CTAAAGCTAACTACAGCTAACTACAGCTAACTACAGCTAACTAAAAACATTGCTGCCTGATGGCAGAAAACACTGAAATATCGTGACGATTGGGAATCTGAGTCCTTTGCAGCAGCAGCCATATTTGAAGCCATCCTGAATACTTAACAGTGTATTTGAAAGTATTTTAGTATTTTAAAGGTGACAGAGGTTCGCCTGAGAGTCACTGTAACAAACCACAGTGACTCATAATCAGCAGAGACAAGCTGGTTCTATGGATACCATCAGATCAGATGAGTCAGCTCTGTGGTGAAGCTCCAACCACTTCCACAGATCAGCTAATTGTCACTAATTGTATGAATATTCTGAAAAATATTTTCAGTATTGAACTTAAATTTCTTCAGTTCCACAGTTAATCAAGTTAAAGTAAATATTTGTGAAGTAACTACACATTTGTATTTTTAGTTTTTTGATGGCAAAAATATTTAATATTCTTAAAAAAGATTTTTATTCACAGTCACATATTCTGAATGTTTGTTGTCATTTTACTGATATTTTCATGTAATCAGGAAAAATCTGTCAAATTAAGGAAACATTTCGTTGTTTTTTGCGGTGAAATTTGCTGTACGATAGTGAAACTGAAACTTTTTGCAGGAACTGTGTGCAGAGGAGGATAAAACACCCCGACCTGTGACACAGAGATTAAATTCCCGTTAAGGATGGTCAGCTGCTGTCCAATCCAAGCTTTCGACACTCCTGTGTGAACTTCCTCTTTGTTTGCTGAGACGTGAAGTCAGAGAAGCGTTTCTGTTTCTGACTCACCCTGAGAGCGTCGATGCATTGACCGTCAGGACTCTGCTCCACGTCAAACACGTCGGAGAAGTGAAGCTCCAGCTGCTGGTGGTTCTCCACCGACAGAGTGGACACACAGTCGGCGTTCTCCGCGTAGGAACCGGGCCAGGACGGGCTGGAGACATCCCCGTGGTTCTGACCGGACAGATCCTCAGAGCAGCTCACTGTGGAGCAGATAAAACCCAGAAAACACTGAAGCTGGAGCAGCTGCAGCTACTGTCAGACTCAGACCTTCTGATTCTTCCTCAACTTGGTTTCATTAAAAGTCAACTTAAAGTTTCCAGTTTTTCCAGCTTCAGTGTTTTGTTTGTGTGAACATCAGATGTAGAAACTGCTTCTGTCACTGGTTCAGTCCTGCTGGAAGGAATGAAGAACACGGAGTCGCTCATTCTGATCAGCCAAACCTGAAAAATGTTCCAATATGATGAGGAAGCATCTTCCCCTCAGACTGAGTCCTGTCCACACATGGTTCTGGTAGGTTCTGGAGGTAAACGGTCCTTCCATTATCTAGAACCGGTTCTGACCAACCACCATCACACATGCTGATATGAGCCTGGAAAGTTACCCAGAATGCACTTTGTAAAGTTTCCTCTGGTGACTGATCAGAACCAGAACCACATCCAGGGTACCACTGATTGTTTCTGTGACTCTGTGTCATAGACATTAGACTGGTACCACTATGATCCATCCCATAATACTGATGCTACCAGCTGCTGACAGAGGACATGAACAGAACCAGGTCCAGTGTTCAGACTGAGACACCTGGATGGATGTGGAACTGATCTGGTGTCAGGTTCTAGCAGAACCCAGATGTGTTCTTCCTCCTAAATGTCATGTGTCTATCTGCTGCACTGATGAAGTTCTGAGGCTCAGAAATGATGGAAAAAGTCCATTAAAGTGATCAATCTGGACCCTCCTCTGTGGACTTGAAGGACCTGGACCTCTGGAACATTCACAGTCTGAAGGTAGAACTCTGGTCAGTAGATAAAGGCACTGCAGATACAGAACCAAGTGTTCTGAGGAGGTTCTGGGGGCAACTGATGGATTTTTCATTAAATGACCCATTTCAACATCAGAATTCCAGTTTAAAGGGAAGAACTGTGATTTCAGGTTGACAGAAAAAGTGAAGCTGAATGAGATTAATCTGAAACTGTCCTTTTTAAAGACTTTCAACACACGGGTCGGCTGTAATGGACCCGACCCAGTTGCTCAACACTTCTGCTTCCTCTATTCTCCTGTTCTCACTTCGTCTTTCAGTCGAGCTGCTTCTTCCTCTGACGCGTTAACCCTTCGCTGTGCTAGGTGGTAATCTAATTACTCAGTTACCGGTGCATGTGTGCTTGTCCTCGGCCAGGAGGTAACCATGGCGACAGGAACAGTGGTACCCTCCGATGAAGTTGTGGCAGAACTGGGAGCACTGGTTGTTGGGGTCGTCCTCACACTCGTCGAAGTCTGACAGAAGGGAGACACTCAGCTGATGATTCACATCTCAAACACAGCATTGATCCAACCAGTCACATGATCGGCACAGAACAGAACCTTTCTTTGTTGTGACTTTTACCAGTTCGGCCTCAGATGAGAGTCGCACAACTCAAAGTGTTGACGTTGGTCAGAAACAGCTGCTCCGGCTGTTTATTTGGCCAGTTTTTAAAATGATTAAACTGCTGTTGAAAAGTTGAAAATCACACCAACAGCATCCTGAACATGAACCACGTCAACATTTATCACACAAAACTGAACAGAACGTTTTCACATCAGGGTGAGCAGCTGGACATGTGCAGGTTTAACCTTCCTGCAGTCTGACAACAGCTGAGCTCTGCTGAGGAGACAGAAACCCGTCTGGGTCTGCGGTTCGGACCTTGGACGGTGTAGAAGCCTCTGAAGCCCGTGTGTCTCTTGGTGTTGGAGAAGTCGGAGTGGAAGGTGATGGAGAGGCAGCCGCCCGCAGACGACACCAGGGTCGGATTCACCACCGACCGAAGCTCCTCCAAGTCTTTGTTTCCACACAGGACGGAGATCAGGCCTCCGTTGGAGAACACCTGACAGGTAGAACCAGAAACCAGGTGTCAGAGCAGAACACAGCGACAGAAGCTGCCGTTTCTGGGACCGCTGACCTTCAGAGCATCGTTCTCACAGTCCTGGCTGTCCTCCAGGTCCAGGTGCAGCAGGCGGACAGACAGGGTGTGGCCTCTGGGGGCGCACCTGCTCCAGTTCAGGCTGCTGTGAGGCGGGTAGCCGCTGGGATAACCGGGAGACTCCACCCAGCCCAGCAGGGCGCACTGGGAGGACTGGGCCAGCAGCAGGACGCTGAGGAGGCTGAGACAGACCCGAATGAAACCCACCGAACACAAACACACAGATCGACCCAAACAGCTGCTTTATGGCCCCAAGGTCCAAACTCACCTCAGTCTGAACATCCTGATCTGATCGGATCTCCTCGCAAATAAACTCAAATCTCTGCTTCCCCTTTTCTTATTATTGTATTCTCCATCTCTTCCTCTCTCTCTCTCACATTTTGCACCCGTTTGCATTTTTAATCTATTCGTGGCGTGTTTTTGCAGAAACACTCTGACAGGAAGACATTCAGGCGCTGCATGAGTTCAGCAGCGACAGGACGACGGCTGAGGGGGAACAATGGAGGGAGATGGAGAGGAAAAGGGTGTAGAGCAGCGAGGAAACATCTCTTTGTGCTGCTGAGCTTCGCTCTGCAGCTACACGGAAACACATGCAGCGCTGAGAGGACGGAAACCAGGAGGAAACAGAAGAACAGGGTCACTGGGGTTTTCCACCGAGTAGGAAGAGACGAAGCAAGAGCAGAAGAAGGTGAGACAGAGAGAGAGCAGAACAAAGCCAGAACCTGAAACAGTCTGAAGCTTCAGAGACAGAAGAAGGACGTCGACATTCAAGGAAACATGCGCTGCAGCTCTGAGGACAAATATCCGAGTGGAAGACGATGCTGCGACCGCTGCGCTGCAGGTCAGTCGCTGCTCCTCTCCTCACGCCTCCTCGCTCACCTGAACCCTGACACCTGTTTCCCTGTTTCAACCAGGAACCTACGTGAAGTCTGACTGCGACGGCTCGAAGCCCACTGAGTGCTCCGAGTGCGGCCGTGGATACTTCACAGCCACCAGGAACCACAGCACCAAGTGCTACCTGTGCAGGAGCTGCAGCGCCAGTGAGTCTCCAGCAGCCTGCTGCTGAAGCAGCTTTAAATGTGCTCATAGTTTAGATTTCCAGGTCTGTTTGTAAGTTAAACCAACCAACAATCAGACTTTCAGGACGTTTTGTTTCGATCACTTGTCTCTTAAATCACTTGGTGAAACATATTTTTATGTTCCAGTTTTTCCGCTGTGTCGTCTCTTTTACTCTCCTTTGCTCCGTGTTGCTGCTTCTTCATGTGTTTGTGTGGGTTTATTGGTAGATTTAGTGTTATGGCTGCTCTGCTCTCATACGGTGGTCCTGAACCTCCGCTTTCTGCTCCGTCTGGGTGAACTCTGCTTTAAAACAGCATTACTGAGTGTTTCTGTGACAGCTGGAGACTCGCTGTGTCTCCAGCCTGTCAGAGGAAGTCACAGCTGGTGGACCGAGGTCTGGACGTCTCCATGTTTCATTTAACAGAAGCAGCTTCACAGATTCTCGCTGGTCAGAAACGTCTGCAGCAGCTGAAACCAAGTTTCAGTGAAATGAAACTCAGACGGTGTTTAGAGTGAGAAGGTGTGACGTGAAGGTCTGAGACCATCGTCTGTGGTTCTGCTTCAACACAACGTCTCAACTTCAGCAGCTTGTATCTGAAGTCTGCTTCTTTTAACTCCCCGGTGTTCATAGTTTCACAGCTCAGAAGAGTTTCAGTTTGAGTCCAGTCCCATTTTAAAGCAGCAGGACAGAACCTTCCTGAGCTGAATGAAATGATGAACGTGCATGAGCACGAGCACATGTATGTCCAATCGGATCATACAGTAAAAGGCTCACCGGCTGCTCTGTGGTCGCAGGTCCAAACACAAACACCTCCTCATAGGGTTTCTTCATTAATCCACTCCAGTTCGGGTCACCATTTACATGCGTTTTGTTCTGACCCGTCGTCAGCAGCCGTCTGGACTCGACTGTCAGGTCTGGTCCAGGACGCCGGAGCTGTGAGCAGAACTTGGAGGTAACGTGTCTTGTGGTTCTTCCAGCCAACAACCAGAGGACGGCGAAGGACTGCTCTTCCACCCAGAACACGGTGTGTGACTGCGTGTCCGGGTTCTACTGCAGCAACGCAGAGTGTGAGCACTGTCAGCCGGCGACCCAGTGCCCTCCAGGAGAAGGAGTCCGGGTTCCAGGTACAGTAAGGTCCCGTCAGGAAGAACACGGAGTCCGTCAGCAGGACCAGAGTAACGCTGATCCTTTGTTCTGCAGCTACTCGGACCAACAACACCATCTGCTCTCCGTGTGAGGACGGAACCTTCAGCAACGTGACGGACTTTCATTCAGCCTGTAAACCTCACACCAGGTCAGACCCAGACTCAGCTGCTGTTCAGGGTCCACACGAGCTTCACTGTGGTTCAGGCCGCAGTCTGTCGGCTCAGACACTGGTTCTGGTTCTGTCACTGATGTTGGACGTCATATCAAACAGACTTCACATTTATCACACACCTCATTCTTACTTCAGGTTTCTTGTAAACTCATATCGTCCAGAACATGATCCAAAGTGAACCGTTTATTGTCCTAATTATTACCTGTTGGATTCATTTCTGTGATTTTACAGTTTTTAAGCTAAATCCACACAAACCTACACGTACAACTCATTACATGGGATATGATGTAAAAGCATATTCTTGTGATTCAAATCATATTTTTGGTTTAATAATTGTAGTTTTAAAAACTTCCTTGAATGTAAAAGTCAGTGGGCCCAGATAAAATATTATTATATATACCTTTATATACATACATATATTTGTCAGTATACACGGGTTTTTCTATAGTGAACAGCACGTTGTTTTAATCATAACAATGATTTGTTTCATTACACTGATTTTACATGTTTTGTAAATCTACTCATTTTATGACTTCACCTGTTTTTAACGTTGAAGATCTGTTAAATACAGATAAACATAAAAAACTCTTATTACCTTTGCTAGAACCTAAACTTAGATTCTTGCAATAATTACATTTACAGCAGTATTTTGACATTTACAAGATTTTTTCTACAGATTATTTTTAGATAATTATATAGAAAATCCAACAAATAACCTTTCTGCAGTTTGCAGCCTGATTATTTCAGTCAAATTTTCATGTAAATGTCCTTCATGAAACACTAAAAAGCCAAAAACCTGATCTCATTTAAAACTACGGCTAAAAATGATCATTGTTTTATTATTCTACTGAATTTTAATTTTATGTAAAATTAGTGTTTTTCTGAGATTTTCGGCATTTTTGACGCATCGGTTGCTGAAACATTTCAGTTTATTTAATCTACAGACATCCAGAAACTGCATTGAATCCCTGCTGAGGGACTTTGGTTTTGTTTTCCTGTTTCTGAGCAGCTTTTAATTTCTGCGTCTGCATGATGTTTCAGCTGTGAAGACTATGGAAGAGTCCCCAGGATTCCTGGAACCTCCAAAACCGACGCCGTCTGTGGAGGCTTCAAATCTCGTACGTCTAAAGTTTTCACTTCAGCGTTTTAGGTTTTATTCTTAGATCCTGAACTCTGTGAAGTTCAACCTGTGCAGCTCATCAGATGTTCTGATCTGCAGTGACCTGCTGACTTCCTGCTGACCTCATGTCCTGTGTGTCATGTGACGGGTCACTGAGAAGGAAGTGAAGCTGAACAGATTCGTGGAAACGATCTCTGGCTCAGTGTTCAGGTTATTTCATCGTGTTACTCACATGAGAGAGAAACCAGATTAGAGCAGCAGTAACTCACCATTTACTGATAAAAACGTGGAAGATAAGCGGTAAAAGCAGGACGTTCTCGCTGGTTTTAGCTTCTGTCTCATGTTCCTTCACTGAGGCTGACGTTTCAACATAAAGTCCTGCAGCTCTGTGGAACCAGAACCACATGAAGGAGGAGACAGAACTCAGAGACGTCTTCTCTCAGCAGGACTCAGTCAGAACCATGAGACCAGAGAGAAGATAAATGTTTCTGTGACTGGTTGTTTTATAGAAACTCTCTCCTCTGGTGACTGATCAGAACCAGAACCACATCCAGGGTACCACTGATTGTTTCTGTGACTCTGTGTCATAGACGTTAAACTGGTACCACTATGATCCATCCCATAATACTGATGCTACCAGCTGCTGACAGAGGACATGAACAGAACCAGGTCCAGGGTTCAGACTGAGACACCTGGATGGATGTAGAACTGATCTGGTGTCAGGTTCTAGCAGAACCCAGATGTGTTCTTCCTCCTAAATGTCATGTGTCTATCTGCGGTACTGATGAAGTTCTGAGGCTCAGAAATGATGGAAAAAGTCCATTAGAGGGATCAATCTGGACCCTCCTCTGTGGACTTCAAGGACCTGGACCTCTGGAACATTCACAGTCTGAAGGTAGAACTCTGGTCAGTAGATGAAGGCACTGCAGATACAGAACCAGATGTTCTGAGGAGGTTCTGGGGGGAACTGATGGATTTTTTTTCCTAAATTGAACAAATGAGGAAACTAGAGCAGCACTTCATCATCACTTTCTTTGTGGTTACCAGGATACAGTTTATGTTTCAGGAGAAGAACCTCGGTGAGTCGGATCTGGTGTCTGAAACCTGCAGCTCCGTGTCGGGCCTCGGACCGGCTTCATTTTGAACCCTCTGTCTTTCAGACTGTCCGTGGATGCTGCCTGCTGGTCTGTGGTCGGGACTCGTGCTCACATTGCTGGTGCTGATTCTTCTGTTGGTGTGGTGGAGATCAAAGCGTGGATCCTACAGAGCAGGTGAGTCCAACACGTCACCTGTGTGGGTGTGTTGTGTCACTGTTTCTCTCACACTTTGTTCTCAGACTGAATTCAAGCAGTGACTGTTCCTGCTTTGAAGTCGTACAGTTGAAGGTCGCAGCTTATCTCAGTCCAACATCCCCCCACGGCTTCCTGTGACGCCACCAGCAGCTCTGAGGGAGGCGGGCACACATTTGCATATTCTCTAAACTAGAACTTTATTAGAAGTTTATTTGCGTTGTAGAAGTGAAACTCCAGGCTCAGCAGAGCGGTCTCGGTGCGTCTCAGACACCTCGATCCGGATGTTGAAGTGTGACGAGCTGCAGGACGACAGACGGAAACCACATCCTGAACGCTGAACCTGACACACTTACTAATGTGACGCAGACTTCAGAGCAGCGAACTCATTCTGAGAACCGGCTCCTACGCAACGGGCCTCATCCTGCTGACTCTGAACTTCAGTGTATTTCCAGAGAAGCTGTGTGTTCATACTGGAACTGACTGGATGTTGTGATTGTAAGACTCACGTTGTGGTTTTCAGTCATTCAGCTTCAGGTTACAACAATGTTTAGGAAACTCTGGTATCTGATTCCCAGTAATGTGATGAGAGTGTCAGCCGTCCAGCAAGAGTTACTGAAGAACTGACTTCCTTCTTGCAGTAGTATCGTGTCTGACTGATGCTTTCACTTCTACCTGCTCGGGTTTCAGACGCTTGGCTGCAGGATTTTACAGCCAACGCAACACGGCAGAGCTGCATGTGCTGCAGCCAGAATGAGCCGGCCGGGCAGAGCAGCTCATTTCAATGCATCCCGGACCGGCTCCTCCGTGAGGCGCTCTGTGCTTCGTGTCTGCAGGTTGTATGACGCCATTTATGGATTTCATTAGGAGGTGAACCAGGAGACAAATTACCACCGAGTCACACTTGAATTTCCAGCTTCATTCGTTAAAACTGATTTTAGTCATTTCTGGAGGAAACAAACAGTCCAGAACCTTAAATGTCTGTTCTCTGTGCGTCAGCTCCATGAGTTCTGTCAGAACTGAAACACCTCCGTACAGTCATGGTGGCCACAGATCAGGCCTCAGCTCGGCTGTAAACGTCTGGTTCACGTGTTGGAGGAGAAGGTCCGCTCCAGACTGAGACGAGTGAAGAGACGCCATCCAAAGTTTAGAGAACTAAACCAGTCAGAGGCCGTTTGTTGAATTCATTCTAAGGAAGCAGAAGAACAAGAACAAGTGTTCAACGAGCAGGAGATGATTAGCACGATGAAGAAGAACCCAGTGAAGCTAAAAGATTGGTCTCCAGAAAGTAGGTCAACACTTTTCTTCATCACTTATCAAGATGACAGAACGTCAGCAGCTGAACCGCAAGATGCAGCTTCTGGTAACAACAGATCCGTTCCCAGCAGCACTCACAGCCTCAAAGCTCCTCCACATCAACGGA